CCCAAAGCCGAAGTCCGTGAAGCCGTCAAGTACCACCCTCACAGCGTACGGCGGATCCAAGATAAAGCAATGCGGAACCCGTCCTATTCCGTGCTCTTACGATGGCAAGAGTCAACTCGCTGACTTCTACATCACGGACTGCCCTGGCACTGCTATCATCGGCCTCCCGACAGCGACAGCCCTGCAGTTAGTCACGCTGAACTGCGCTGTCCAGGAGAAGCCAGCGAGCATCCGAGACAAGGACGACCTGATGAAGCAATACCCGAAGTGCTTCGATGGCATTGGGAAATTCCCAGGCAAGTACCACATCACAGTGGACCCCAACGTCGTCCCGGTTGTACACCCTCCACGCCACCTCCACGCCATCGCACTGAGAGACGAGATCAAGACGGAGCTGGAGGACATGATCCAGAACGGCATCATCACCAAGATCCAGGAAGGCGAACCAACAGCATGGGTGAACAGCCTCGTGTTCCGCCTCAAAGACAATGGCAAGCTACGCCTGTGCCTAGACCCCAAGGACCTCAATCACGCCATCCTGCGAGAGCACCACGTGGTCTCCACCATTGAGGAGATCACCCCGAAGTTGAGAGGTGCCAAAGTGTTCTCGATCGTCGACGTCAAATGTGGGTACTGGAATGTGGAGCTCGACGACGAATCCAGTTACCTCACCACCTTTAACACACCATTCGGGCGCTACAGATTCCTTCGCATGCCATTCGGCCTCAAGATGTCGCAAGATGTCTTCCAAGCAAGGATCGACCAGACGTTCGAAGGGTGCTCAGGCGTCACCGGCATCGCAGACGACATCGTCACATACGGGACGTCAGACGAGGACCATGATCTCAACATGCACCAGATGATGGTTCGCTGCGAACAATCTGGTCTCAAGTTGAACCCAGACAAATGCCGCATCAAAGAGGACAAGATCAAGTTCTTCGGCATCATCTGCAGCGCTGACGGAATACAGCCCGACCCGAAGAAGGTCTCAGCGCTGAAGCAGATGGAGCACCCCGAGAACGAGGACGAGCTCCAGACGTTCCTCGGGCTAGTCACGTACATGAGCCCGTTCATACCGAATGCCAGCACACTGACCGCGCACCTGCGTGAGCTGACCAAGCCAGATACACCGTTCGCCTGGACAGACAGCCACCAGCGCACCTTCGACAAGGTCAAGGCCGCCATTTCGACAGAGGTAACGCTCAGTTACTTTGACCCAGGCAAGGCAACGACACTACAAGTCGACGCTTCCATGAAAGGTCTCGGCGCCACTCTGCTGCAGGACGACAAGCCTGTTGCATTCGCCAGCAAGAAGCTTACCGAGACGGAGTCTCGCTACGCCAATATTGAGCGTGAGCTCTTAGCTGTCGTATACGGGTGTGAAAGATTCCACACCTACCTATTCGGTCAGTCATTCACAGTAGAATCCGACCACAAGCCGCTGGAGTCAATCAAGCTCAAGCACCTCCGCGCAGCCCCGCCGCGTCTACAGCGCATGCTGCTGAAGCTGCAGCCGTACGACATGACCATCAAGTACCGCCCCGGAAAGGACATTCCGATCGCAGACGCGCTATCCCGACTGTCGCCAGAGGAAACAGAGCCAATTGAGGACCTCGACGTCAGTGTACACGCCGTGTTCCCGCAATTCAGCGATGCAGCGATGACGAGGATCCGCGAGGAGTCGGCTAAAGACGCCGAGATGTCAGCACTGAAGGAGATGATCTTCAGTGGCTGGCCATCAGAGAGGAGCGCGGTGCCGGCAATTCTGCTCCCGTACTGGAATTTCCGCGACGAGATGAGCACCGAGGACGGTCTCGTCCTGAAGAGCAGTCGCGTCCTGATTCCCCCGCCAATGAGGGGGGAAATCCTCAGCAAGCTGCACGCCAGCCACCAAGGCATAGAGAAGACCAAGCTGCGAGCCAGAACGTCCGTCTTCTGGAAGGACATCAACAAGGATATCGAAGCAACTGTCTCATCTTGCACGACGTGCCAGCGCCACCAGAGCAGTCAAGCCAAGGAACCACTGATGCAGCCCGATATTCCGCCAAGGGCATGGCACACCTTAGGCACGGACCTGTTCTACCTCGGCGGGTCAGAATACCTCATTGCCGCCGACTACTACTCCAAGTACTTTATCACCCGGAAGCTGCCTGCCGGACAAGCGACCAGCAGGGCCATCATCCAGCACCTCGAGGAGATTTTCGGTGAGCACGGCATCCCAGCCGTGCTGAAGTCGGACAACGGGCCGCAATACAGCAGCCATCTGTTCGCGGAGTTTGCTGCCGAATATGGATTCCGCCACAGTACGTCGTCGCCACATCACCCGCAGAGTAACGGGTTTATCGAATCGCAAGTCAAGATCGCTAAGAGAGCTCTCGAGAAGGCAAGGGAGAGCGGGACCGACCCGCACTTAGCACTGCTGTGCATTCGCGCCACCCCAGTGTGCCAGGGCTTACCGTCGCCGGCCGAGATGCTGTTCGGTCGTCAGGTACAGGACAACCTGCCTCGCAAACACCAGCGCGACACTCGGGACGAGGCCATCCGACAGAAGCTCGAGGAACGGCAGGACCAGCAGAAAGTACACCATGACCAGCGAGCGCAGTCTCTCCGCCCCCTAGTTCCTGGTCAGCACGTCGGCATCCGCAGCCCGACCACGCACCTGTGGGAACCTGGTATCGTAACCCAGTCTGTCAACGGGCCACGGTCATACATGGTGCAGCCTGACCATGGGACAGAAGTGCGGCGCAACCGTACCCACCTCAGAGAGAGGCGGGTCCACTTCCCGCCGGATGCCAGTCTCGCAGGCCCTCAGCCGTCGAGTGACGTGCCGTCGCCGTGGAGCGACGTTAGCCAGTCTCAGCCGCCGTCACCGTGTGACGTCAGCCAGCCTGCTGAACCTGCCACCCAGCTGTATCGAACACGGTCTGGCCGCGCAGTCGCACCCAGGTCAATCCTGGATGTGTAGGGCCAGAGAGGCCTCATGGACCTGTTCGCTTATGTCACAGTAGCTAAGGTGCCATTGTTATATTGTACATAGAGCTATTGTTGGATACTATGTCTCTGTATTGTTAGCACGCCGTCATGTGCCATTCATGATTGTTACCTTGTACATAGAGCTATTGTTGGATGTTATGTTCTATATTGTGAACACGCCGTCATATACGTACGGTATGTTATGTAGGTTGTTAAACTCCCTTATGACGAAGGGGATGTTGTATTATGATGTAATGCATTACGTAGCCATGCAAGAGCATGCGCGAGATACGCATCTCGCAGCTGCCTACTTTCATGCAGCATCCTTTAGATGTCGTGTTCTGATGATTTGCCTACAATGGCCAAGTGAGAATATAATCCTATCGTAAACAACTAACTTGTTTACCCCGAAACAGTCGCTTTGTTCTTATTCTGCCATCATGGAGGGTATCATAAGATGCAATCATGCTGAATGTCCTCCCGAGGAGACATCACCTCTGACTCGGGTTATATCCTCTACGTAGAGGCAGTGCACCAGCATAGAACCTACGTAGAACGCCTGGTCCCAAAAGGTGGTGCGAATGATTACCGAATTTCCGCAAATAAGGGTTGGTTCACATATCGCCGGTACGCGCCGGGAGTCACCGGCGGTGGGCTTCTTGCAACCTCTCCCGGCGCACTGCGATTGTGTGAACCAGTGCAGTCGTAACAAAATCATACGGTAAAAATATCGCAAGGGACCGCCGGCAAAGTTGGACAGTGCCCAACTCTTGCGATCTGCCCCGGCGCCGATCCCGTATAATTTTGACCAAAAGTGGTTTGTGAACCGTTCGCGCCGGTGATCGCCGGCTGCCGGGAGCCAGACTTTGTCAAAATATCAAACCAATACTTGTCCTAAATGTTCCAAAATTGAAGCTAGAGAGGAGGTCCGTTCGCCATTCTTGTAGTCGCTTCAAGGTGGCAAATAAGTCAGAATACCAGCCCGTCCTTCTCGGATGATCTGCTTGACCATTGTGCAACTTATGAGACAAATACAATTGAAACAAATAAAAAATATGATGGATACATTGGCAAGTTCTTGTGACTTCACCAACGTTTGCAAGCATAATTTCGACACAATCGCTTACTAGACTGCAAAAAAATGTGTAGAAGTATTTTCATGATCTCCAGTAAACGGTAGCACCGAGTGGCCATCACCAAAAGACCTTGAACTACTGAAGAAACAAAGAATTCAAGCTTCAATTGGCAAACCTGTCGTAGCATTTGGGCACATTCTGTACTACTTTGTAGTAGATTTGGTACTCGAACCGTATGCGCAACGGATCGGGAGCTGGCTCACCGCCGATGTCTTGCGGCGCCGATTTTGCTTATATGAACCAACCCTACAAGGCCGTCCTTGTATACAACGCCTTCCTCGTATACAAGGCCGGGGCAGGGGCGATTGAAAAAATAAAAGACCGTCTCCGATTAGAAGACCGGGCCTACTAAATGAGTCTCAAACATGTGTTAAAAATAGAAGACCGTGCTCAAACTGTGGGTAAAAGTGGAAGACCGTGCTCAAACTGTGTAGAAGAAAATGGAAGAATGGGGGTAAAACTGTGTGGCGAAAAATAGAAGACCGGGGTCAAACTGCGTTGAAAGCAGGGAGTAGTACAATACTCCCTGGTTGAAAGAATAAAAGACCGTCCTCGAATACAAGACCGTCCTCGATTATAAGGCCGGGTTCGGACGAGGTTGAAAAAATAATAGACCGGGCCTAGTATTAATTTTGTGGAAATACGGTATGTGTACGAATGTATATTCCCCGGAAATAACGGCTGCTGATTGGCTGAATCCATGGTTTACTAGTACGAGTACGAGTTCGAGTACACTGTACGCGATAGGTCTGCGCGAGCTAGCTGCATGCTAGTGCACAAAATGAAAACTACAAAAAATGATGACGTCTTTTGAATGCTTTTTGTTTTGTTTGAATGTGAACATACGTATACATGCATATTCTTGCGCCAGTGGTTAGCATTAATTTTGCATTTGACAAGCCTCGGCTTGCCTGAGCCAAAATACAAAAAGCCAAACACAGAACTCTGTAGTTACTTTTACTTGCCTGTGCAGCTGCGCTGATTCTGACGATTGCTATGTTTCTGAGTGTCTATATTTTGTAGCTCTCTAATCTCGGAGTTATGGAGCAAAGCAGATCCCCGAGACAGAATCTGTGCAGCTGGTTCTGCGCGTACTTATAAGTAGTCTGTTTTGTAGATTCTTAGTCCGAAGTCAGCGAACGAAATTGTTGCTGGCAGAACTTGAAGACAAAAGTAATTATTCCACTCGTTATCTACAATACACGTATTGTTGAATGATCTGATTAGTAGCAATGGCGGATGCGTGGGGACGTATACAGTGCTGTGTAGGACGTTTTACTGCCAACAGTACTGAGAACGAAGCTGTGGAATGCAGCTCCGAGACGTTCACCATCGGACGATCCAAGGACTGCTCTCTGCGCATCACCTGGTCCAAGTGTGTATCAAGCAGGCACTGCGTTCTCACGCGCAAATCATCGTCTGGTCGCGTTGAAGTGAAGGATGTATCCACCAATGGCACACTGCTCAACGGCACCAAGCTAGTAAAAAATAATCCTGTGCAAATCGACTCTGGGGATACAGTGGCATTGGTACAGAAACGTGAGGACCCCAGTCAAAATCTCTCCTTTCAGTTCTTTCTGCTGAACAATGACGATTCAGATGCCACACAAGACTTCGCCATTGAAAGTTGCAACAGTCCTGTCGCCGTTGATGCTGCTGCTTCCAGTGAGCCCCTTGTTGTTACCGGCCAGAAGCGTAAGGCAGGCGATGACAGTGAGCAGGATGGTGGAGTAGCAAAGCGCGCTTTCACAGGCGGTCATATGGCTGACTCTGTCCACTCAAATTCGTCTGCAGGGTCAGGTGCGTTGAACACTGCTCCAGTTGACACTTCCAATCCACCTACGACCGCGTCTTCCACGGCCAAGTCTAGCTCGCCGGCTGGTGATAACGCCTCGAGTTCTGCGACTGCTGCTGCCGATGCAATGTTGGAAAACATGATGTGCGGCATTTGCCAGGACGTTCTCCATGACTGTGTGTCGCTGCAACCGTGTTTGCATGCGTTTTGCGGCGGCTGCTACTCGCCATGGATGCAAAGGGCCAAGAACTGCCCGCAGTGCCGGCAGCGTGTGGTGGCGGTGCGCAAGAACAACATTGTGAACAACCTGGTGCAGCTGTTCCTCCAGCAGAACCCCAGTCGGCGCCGCGACGCAGCCGAGCTAGCCGAGTTAGACAAGGCGAACACGATTAAAGACGAGACAGTGCAGGTGAGCGAGGCCCGAAACAAGAGGGATCGGCACGACGACGACGATGGTGATGATTACGGGGAAGACAGTGACGATGAATATGACTATGATGGCTATTCAGATGACTACGGCTATTCAGATTATGAAGACGATGACGATCCTATGAACCAGCTACCACCAGCAGCAAGAGCAACAGCAGCACTAGAAAACCTTTTCAACCGTGCCAATCCTGTGGGCAATCCATTTGGCCGTGCCGCTGCCGTCTTGCCACACAGTGTGTGTCGCCAGTGTCCTGGCTACATCGGGCCTTTTCGCATGCCTGTGACAAATGCACTGGCTGCTGTCACTGCTCCTACCTCTACAGGCACTGCAGCTAGCAGCGTATCTGGCACCACGACGACTGCAGCAACTACAGCAGGAGCAGCAGCAAGTGGAGCTGAAGATGCGGATTCTCGGAAAGCTAGTGCATCAAGCACACCCACCACAGCTAATCCAGCAGTGGGGAGCACGGCAGCAGCAGCTGTAGGCGCCACGGCAGCAGCAGCTGTAGGCAGTGCTAGCAATGACGGTCCAGGCACAAGCCTACCTGGCATAGTCACCTCGTTCCAGTGCAGCACGTACACACGCCATCTCCTGTGCCAGTGCTGCTTTCAGAGCATGCCGGATCGACGAAACGAGCGCAGTGCTGAGCCAATCCCACCACAGGAGTGTGCTCTGTGCAAGCAGTTTTATTGTCATCAATACTGGACGTGCAAGCGCGTTGGCTGTGCTGGCTGTCTCAACCAATTCCAGCAGATGAAGTTCCCAGATAACGTTCTTTCACAGCTTGTCAACAAGAATGCTGTTGAGTCCAAGGTTTTGACCGATCACCTCAAGGCAGAGGGGAAGACCACGTCCAATCTGCTTCAGGAGTGCGTCAAGAAGCTCGGTGATGGTGTGTATTCAACGCAGGATTCGCAGACCGGCAGGCTGACCGCGGAGGCGGTCCTGTGTTTCCGTTGTGCAGTGCGCAATCTTGGCGAGCTGGCTTTCCAGTATCGGCGAGACATTCCGGCCGCGTCGCTCCCGGAGGCGACTCGCCGTCGTCCTGATTGCCACTGGGGACGCGAGTGCCGCACGCAATGGAACAAACCGCACCATGCGGAGCGCTTCAATCACGTCTGCCTCCGCACTCGCTTTGATTAGCTCTGGTATCGGTGGTAGCAGCAGTGGTGGTATCAGATGGTATTAGCAATGTGTAGTACCCGACACTGTTGCGTGGGCTGCTGGTACTGCTTGGCTGGACTTGTGGAGCAGCACAATTCATTCACTGTGTCATCCGTGCACAATCGCTGGACGATGGTGCATTCTGCTGTTGCTACATTGCTTTTGTTCATGGGTCACGTTTCCTATTATTTGGTAAGTTTTGCAAACGTATGAAAACTGTGCAAGTGTTATTCGTAGTGTTGTTTGTGCTTTACATTGATTTTAACTTTACACTGGTCTTGTTGCGGCTCTCACTGTTGTTGTCATCGTCGTCTTCCACATTGTCGTTGTTCTTCTTGCTGTTGATGCTGTGATTGTGGTGGTGTGGGTCGTACCATGCTAATGGTGGTAGAGGTCGTAGCCATGGTGATGCTTGTATTATAGTTTCCACTTTCTGATGATCTCCTGAAGAAGAAATGATATTACGATGGTCATGGTCATGGTCAATAGTTTCCTTCGTTATTCTTACCACAAGTGTAACTGGGAGAGAGCAGGCCTGCTCGTACATCATGTCAAGTATAACTTATGGTTTAATTACTTTTGTAGCGCATTTGTGCTTGTGCTTGTGTTTCTTGCTAAAGTTACGTGATTGACGGTTTGAGTCTAGTCGAATTTCGCTACAAGGAAGAGAAGTCGGAACATTGAATACCACCAGTGACCTGCAATGTGTTGTGCACATGTGCTTATTCAAGTGTAGACTCCCTGCTCTACAGCTGACCCGGGCGGGCCCCTGCCTGCCACCGTCATCACCATGTTCGTGACTGTGTGCTGAGTGACTGCTCCCAGGTCGTATAGCGCCTGGCACTGACACTAATGATATTCTTGTGCTCTGAAAGGACTCAACACTGTTGTAAGTAAACTACAGTAGAGCTCAGTAAAATCTGCAGGAGGGGTATTGCCTGGTTAGTTCAAGTAGAATCTGGCTCCAAGCATAGGGCAAGGAGCTCTGTGCTGGCCCTTTCGGAGCTGCTTCCAAGTGCATCTCCAGTACTGGGGGGGGGGGGGCTTTGGCTCTCGATGTACATTGTATATGCTGTAGGTGCCGCTGAGTGTGGAGATACTAGTAGGACTAGCACACGTGAGTTGAGTTTAGCGACCCGTATGATTGACGATGTACTGGTAGTGGTACATGTTGTGTTTGTGTTACACCAGTGACTACAAAATGATGATTGTAGTAGTATGGTATTGGTGCCATGCCATGGGGCAGTTTGTGAATAGAAAGTCAGGAAGTACAACTACATGTAGTCTACTTGTAGTACGTTTTGGGCAATGATGTGGAATCATGATGTACATGTATGATTGCTGTGTGTGTGTGGGGGGGGGGGGGGAGGGTGCATGGGTGTTTGTAAACGTGTGCAGGCATGTGTGTGTACTAGCTCTCTATTGGTTTGCCGGGCCAACAGTGCAGCAGCTGTTGGGTCTCGACTCAGAGTGTTATGTGCTCACTTAAACCTGTGAGTTGTGGCTTACTCAGTGGACCAACACATGGCCACTTGACTCACCAAGTGGACCAGTCAGCTGCCAATGCCAGCCCTTGCACACATCCTCCCGGCTACTAGTATGTCAGCCTGTGTCATGTGCACTGCTAGACTATACTCCACTGTAATACATACTAAAAAAGTATGCGATAATCATTATTATTATTGAATCAACATAATCAGTATACAGTAGCCATATGACCCTGTCAGGTGCACTGAAAACAGACAGTCAGTGCTGTTCAATACTGCTGTTGCTGCTGTTGCGGCATACACTGCTCTACCAAACTGGACAGCAGCCTGTACTGTGTCTGTGTACATGTGTGTCTGGCCGCACAGAGACAGCAGGATATCAGGCTTGTCCGTGCATATTGAAAACTAATACTCTGACAGGCACCACACTAGAACACTGCCTTTTCGGGACTATACGAGTACTAGTACATCATTTTTTAGATGATGTCAGTGTTTACTGCAAACTGCCTAATATTCGCGGCGGATTAATGTTCGATATTGTCGCGAGAAGAGCGTAACGCGAATATTAACCAGCGTGAAAATCCAACTTGAACAATGAGCGTATGTAGGTGGCCCCAGTGCTTCGCAAACTTTTGCCATCGCAAACTCGCTGGTTCTAAGTAATCGCGACGCGAAAATTGATTGCGCGAATATTGGGCGGTTTACAGTATCCATAACTTGTGTTATAGATAAGCACTGCCGTTCTAGCTTTACAGTACTGTCGGGCGCCGAAGAACTACGGGGTCAGGGTTCTAGCCTAGCCCGTTCTTATTTTTCGTGAACACAGCTGTTTCGTGCTTATTCGATGATACAGTCAGTCATACACGTACACGTACATGTCATTCTATTTCGACAGCATGTTACAAGGCGAGGACGCACAGACTCAGTGCTCCTGACTACAACCATAACCCGGTTGGCAGAGTCCCGGTCTTCGACTATTTGAGCCGTATGGGGAACAAACCCCAATTCTGTGTAGCTTTACAGCACTATAATTATACTTCAGTAATCATTACCGCAACATAACTCTACAGTTTATATTTGTTACTAACATTTATGTATAGACATTGGTCAAAGGGGCAGCGTCAAAGGAGAGCTGCATATCAAAAGCAGTAGCCGACATGGGGAAATATTCGGCCTTTGGTCTTTACATACATTTGGGCAAATGTTTCCAGATTTCAGCAACATTTGCATTTCCAACAAATCTTATGATGAAAAGAAACAATGTAGACCGGGCCGCAGGAAGAAAGTGACAGTGCCCCCCCCCCCCCTCGACCACATACATACCGTATTTTCCGGAGTATAAACCGCACTTTTTTAAAACACTCGTAATGTACCCAAAAATAGTCAGTGATGCGGCTTTTACTTCGATGGCCCAATGAACCATGGAATACAGGGTAGATGTCTGTGTTTCGTGACAACATCAGGGTCCGGCTTACCGGCGTGACCATTTTTTCTGTCGACGTCAGACCTCGCTTATCCGGTCCTCTTTTATCCGGATCCCTCGCCATCCGGAAGAATATCGTTGGTTACCGATTTACAGCATATGCCTTGCATACATACAGTATGTGTGTTCGATTATCCGGTTCCCTCGCCTATCCGGATATTTATGAAGAAAACGGATGTGTGCGGTTATGCGAGGTCTGACCGTATACGCCAGTGCTGGCATACTCCCGGCCGGCGTGTACTCCGGAGAATACGGTACTTATACAAACACAAAGCAGAGGCATGCTCAGGGAGAACAGTCATATGGGTGGTGAATACACAGCACAAAAACTTGACCCGGTGGCAAAAGGTCCTAACCTGCATGGCACACAGGGTATCTTGCGCAATCGCAGTGGCACTGGTGGGCTGTGGGTGTTGCACATCATCTGCATAGCAAAGCATTGACAACGCATTGGCACAGCACAACGCCGTTGTAGGTGATCTACTGACATCCAGAGCTGTTAGAAATGCAGGAGTGGAGCAATATGACGAAATGGATCTCTTACGTGCCCAAATTAATGATTTTTTTCAATGTTCAGTTGAAAGCAACCTATCGATCGTAACTTGTATTCAGATTTGCAGGGGTTGGCTTAGTAGTCAGACCTACTCAAATTATGAGCACTTCAGAAATACTCGCTCGGCACACACTTGCGTTTGTCAACGTCACATGATAAGATTGCTCCCCCCCCCCCCCACCTCTCTCCCTCTCTTTCGGTCCATGCCACGAGGACACAATCATGTAAGCAACACACAGACACACACACGCACACACACACACCCGGCAAAAGCCAACAACAAACGAATTTAGATTTCCAAAGTTCTCACAGAAGCCCAACAAGCTGTGTAGACCACTCACTCGCACACTGATATCAGGGGAAGCATGAAGACAGTCAGGCTCTGAAAAAAAAAGCAGCGCCAATGAAAGTCACCGACGATGCTTTGCTTCTCCTCCGTTAGTACACTAAGTACCACGTGATCCAGCAATATATGGTAACTGTCAGCCACAAGATATTATAAGAAAGAAATTTATGATCTTTTGGCATGGAGTAAAGGATACAATGCACATGCAGGATGAGACATGCACCATAAAGTAACAAGGCTCCGAGCAAGAACAAACTGCTAGCAGCGATAATGGGTCAAGACAAGTCATGCACTTTTGCAAGGCTTTCAAAAGAACGAAAAAAGGCTCGATATACGCACACAAGACAACGAATAAGCGGATGTGGAACTGCACCGCCGAAAACAAAAATAAAAACAGCAGTAACGAAAATAGGAAATATACACCGTAGCCAAATACGGGACCATGATATAAGGGAGTAGAGTTGATGTACAGTCTGGAGTGGCATGGCCATTCAGCGAAGAGCGAGGAGAACCGCCAGGCAAAGCTTCTTGCAGCCTCTTTATCAAACAGCGCCCACAAACAAAAGATATACGGGAAAATGCAAAGGCCAGAATCAACAAATCTTTGGTCTAAATTTGCAGTGTGCTACTATTTGCACAATGGGCACACAGTGCCGAAGAAGACAGACAAGCATGAGAAGCGGGTGTAATGCATGGCAAAATGGGGAGCGTCAGCCACAAGACGATTCTCTGCCACAACCGCAGGGAGGTGGCAACGGCTAACACATCCACCAGCACCATGAGAAGCGGAAATAGGCACGCACACACAGACACACACATAAACACAATCCGACATACAAACAGACACAGAGACATGACAGGGGGAAAGAAAGTTCAGTGCGGCACATCAAGGACCTGACTGGTTAGGTGCTCGCTGCTAGCTGGCCATCGACGGCATACGAGAAGTCCTCAAAGTGGACGTCCTCGCCTTGTGCACTCTCCGGTGGTGTAAGTCGTGCTGGCTCGTTGGTGAAGTCCTCGTCGAACCACGAGGTGTCCGTTGACGACTTAACCGTGGGCTTGAACGGCGCTTCAATCTTCTTTGCCATCAGGTCGTCCCAGTTGATGCAGCTGGCGAAGAACGCGTGCTCCATGATGTCTTCGGCGTCTCGTTTACCGCCGCCGAGGCGATGCGTTGGGTCCTTGATGAGCAGACCACCCAGCAGACTGCGGGCCAGCTCCGTGATACGCGTTGGGAACTTCACCTCCTCCATCAGAATCAGCTCAAAGAGCACCTCGTGATCGCGGTTGTAGAACGGCAGACGGCCACACATCATCTCGTACATGACCACGCCGAGGCCCCACCAGTCCACCGCCCTGCCATAGTCATTGTCCTCGAGTACTTCAGGCGCTAGATACTCCGGCGTGCCGCAGAACGTCTTGGTTGTAGCGCCGTACGTGATCTCCTCTTTGCACAGGCCAAAGTCAGTGATCTTAATGTGTCCTTCCTTGTCCAGCAGTAGATTTTCCAGCTTCAAATCCCGATAGACAATACCAAGTTCGTGCAGGTACTTGATAGCCAGACTGATCTCAGCACCATAGAAACGGGTACGATCCTCCGTGAACACACGTTCCCTTGACAAGTGAAAGAACAGTTCGCCACCATTTACATATTCCATGACGAAGCACAGGCGCTCCTTGGTTTGGAACGAGTACCGCAGCGACGTTAGGAACGGGTGACGGGCCGACTGTAACACTCGGTTCTCCGTCATCGTATGCTCTACTTCATCTTTGGCAACAATCACCTCCTTCTTCAGGATTTTGATCGCGAACACTTCACCTGTTGCCTTGTCACGGCCCAGCATCACCTTACCGAATGTTCCCTTGCCAAGCACCTTGAGCATTTCGAAATCTTCCAGAACTTTATCCTTCTTGTCATCTTTGCCATCGAGACCGCCACTCTCCGGCAATCCGCCTGCTTGGCCGTTGGGTGCGGGTTCCCTCTTCTCCTTGTCGCTGTCCACGTTCGCTGCGACTTCTTTGATACATTTCATCCATGCATCGCGCTCGTCCGCACTGTCAACGCAGAATGTTCGCTCAACAAACGTGGTCCACTGCAAGCAGCGAATGATGAACGCATTCTTTTTGATCTTGTCTGCTTTCATTAGCTGGCACTTCTCCACAGTGAAGTTGTTCAGCGGATCTGCTCCACTACCAGCACTTGGCTTGTCTTTGTAGCCCAGAAACGAGCCATCGCTCTTCAGCTGAAACCAACGCGCACGCCAATTTTTGATGTATTCTCCGCGCTTATTTAGCCAGCCCTCGCGCACAACGGTCGATGTCATGGCGGACGATAGCGACTAACGCCGGAGCAGCACCACACTAAACAAGGAACGAATAGACCACGATATCCGAACACGTTATTGACAAACGCGACCCCACAGACTGCGAACACAGTTTGCTTCTCGAATGTTTGGGGGAGTCGATGAGGGCAAAACAAAACTCGCTTTCCTGCAGCACTCAGTCAGCATGCATGCATGCTCACAGTCACAGTCGAACCATGCAGTTTTTCTAGCTCCGCACACGATGTACGTGTATGATGTAGACCTACATACTAGTACTTGTACATGATTCGTAGACATACAATGATGTACAGTCATGTACATATCCGTGTACGAAGATCTACGGTCAACACTACATACATGTATGGGTCAGTCACGTCTACATGCGAAAACAGTCATGCACCATCGCAAGTCACTAGCACTTTTTCTTTGTGGTGCAGTGTAAGACTTTACTAAAAAGACTTTAGTTTGAGCATGAGGTGCCATCGACGCATCAATGATCATGGTGCCGCGAAGCAGAAGGCTCCACAAAATAATACCGCTCGTACAGCTAGCTAGTACAGTGGCGCAGTGCAACATGTGTCGGCCTGTTTACTCAAAATTAATAATTACTGTCCTTCGTTGAAACATCTCATCATAAAGTTATCCAGACTTTTCGAGAGGTTGCTGGATCCCACACAAAATCAGCGTGGGTACCGCTAGTCACCTGGTCACTGTTCCAGTTGTTCGGCTGCTTCTGCACACACTTCAAAGGCCAACGCGGCGCAGTGAACCAGTCAATGCAGTGTCATAACTGGCACGGTGAGTGACGCGAAGGACTAAAGGGACCGTCACTTAATTTTTGCCGACTACCCGCCAAAAAAATCTTTTCGTTTCACGTGTCAGACACGTCCGCGAGCGCGCGTACGACTCTCGCGGGCCCGCGCGCGCTACCTTTCACGTCAGGCAATCCAGAATCTGTTCACGCCACATGGCTGGATAGCGCGTACATGCAAACATGATTGAAGACTTGCAAAATCAATTTTTTTCCAAGTCCAGGTGCTAGGCCTAGGCAGTACTAATGCCTAATGCCAAGGCAGCTGACTTTATTTTCGGAGAGACACTACACTACTCATTGAAGTAAAAAGTAACAATGAATAGCGATATCATCTAGGAAGGATCGCTACCCTAACGCGAAGGAAAGGCCTTGCGCGGCTGCTCTACGAAGTGTTGAAGAAAGACTCATCAAAGTTAGTTGGTGGACGAACAACTAATTACTTGCTGGCGCCGGAAAACTTGGCCCCCAACGATGGTGTTTGGTGAATCATCAAGCATAATGTCTTGTAGCAGTGTTCACCGAGGAAGGAGAACGCTCTAGCCGCTGCTGTTGTCCGTTTCATCCACGTTGGGCGTTAGCTGCACCGCGCCTATTGTGTTTTAGTATTCCATGGACACACATTAGCATTCAGAGCGATTGTGGAGCCACAATTTACTTCACACAGCGTTGTATTGTCCACGAGCGCAAACTTCATTATCAGCAGTAACTGTTACTCTTCATCCTACATGTAGATTTGGAGTATACACGGCCTTGTCACGACAGCGACAGCTCTACAGAGTGTTCAAGTGAGAAACATTAATTTCTATTGTTGGTGGACGAATAAATGGCTGGTTCCGAAAAAACACGGCCTGCACCGATGGTGTTTGGTGGATCATCAAACAGGGTGACCAGCAGTGTTCACCGAGGAAGGAGAATGCACTCGCCACCACTGCGATTCATCCAAGTGGGCGTTAGCTGCGCCGCGCCTATTGTGTTTTAGTATTCCATGGATGCACACTAGCGTTCTCAGCGATTGTGGAGCCACAACATATCTTCATGCGGCTTTGCACTGTCCAAGAGCAGAAACGTCAGCAGTGACCCTTCATCATACATGTAGATTTGGAGTATACACACCATGCGCCAATGGGCCTTGGCACAACAGCGGCAGCTCTACGGAGTGTTCAAGTGAGAAACATTTGTTTCGACTTTTGGTGGACGAACAAATCGTCGGTGCCGAAAAACGTGGCCTGCGCCGATGGTGTTTGAACCATCGAGGGCTCCGGAAGCAGCAGCTGAGCCAGATCAGCCAGTCTTTTCCAACTCTCAGTTGCCGGACTCCGTGCTGCAGCTAGCAGCACTGGCACCAGCCGGAAATATTTTTCCGCCGATACCCGTTACTTCCAGTTCTGTCAAGGGCATAACTGGAATCCATTGCCAGGTGATGACTTTTTACTTTATGTGCTATTTTGCTGCCGAGTTGTTCAGAACTTTTCAGCCCCGATCTGTCCATGTCTACATGTCAGCCATCCGCAAACTTCATGTGGAAGTTGGCTTTACCTACCCGTCAGGCCCAATGACTCTCCTCGCAAGGTTCCTGTCGGGCATCAACAGGTCATCATCGACACAGCGTCATCGCCTGCTGATAACCACTCAACTTCTCAGGGAGATTAGCCGGCATGTTGCCTTTCCACGGATGTGGCACCGTCATGACAAGGCCATGCTAAGGGCAAACTGACTGCTTTATTTTAGCTTTACATTACCGCAGTCAGTCCAGCACAATACGCCAATCGTATTTCACTATTACTCGCGTGTCATAATTGGGGATATGGGCTGCTCCGCCCTATATCCCTGATATTCCAACTAGACGAAAAGTGTGTTCTGAGCCTGTATCGCGTATAATAGGCTCATCGTAAAACAAATAATAAGTCTTAAAAATCAGGGTTCACGTGACACTCGGGTTCCAGCCAAGTTTTCCGCATCCGCAGGAACGCTACCCCCCTCTTGAATCATAGCATAGTGGACTCTGCAATGAACAGATTATGAAACTCCCTGCAGATTTACTACGATCATTTCTGGTGACTGGTCTTGGGGCACCGTGGAAGCTGTGACTGGTTGCCAAGTTTTGTTTTGTGACTGAACATGGGGCATTTGTGACTACTTCGAAGCACAGCTCTGATTGATCACAGAGTCTTACTGTTGTGAATATTTATATCGATTGAGAAGTCAAGCAGCCACGGGGCGCTGGCCTTGCAGCTGTGAGTATGCATACGGTACATATTCACATGACTCTATTGTATGCTGGACACTGCTGGTCCATTGTTGCAGTGTGTAAGTGAACTGCAGAACCTATTCCGTGATGAAACACCTACTCTTGAAAGCCTGAATGTTTGAGCTAATAGTCTTTTACTTCACTCTCATGCTGCTCATATAACTATACCATACGCCAGAAGACCCTAAGTTAGTTCTAAGATTTTGTGGACCATGTGACCATGTGGTACTTTCACTCTACAGCCAAGTCAACCTCTTCGTCAACACACAGGGTTTTCCTCAGACACAAGCGAATGGTTTACTCCACTCTGGAGAAGAACACAGTTTGCTTTCTCGAACACCAACCGCAGATAACTACGGAATGTACTTCAGAAGTAGGAAGTGCAACAACTGCTAGAATATTGAACTGTCGTCCACACAAAACAACTTGATAAAGACAACTGAAAACCAAAACACATGCAACTGCCAACATGCATGTAACAGCAACTGCAAGCCAGAACTACAGACTCCGCGCAGGGAGGAACAGGGGAAACAGAGGTAACGCTTCCGACTCCGAGAGCTTCGAATAGCAGCGGACAAAACAATCCATCAACCTTGCGTGTCACCTTGCGCTACCGCAAACGAACACCTATGGATGCACAGTGCAGCACAGACTCAGTGCATGCACGGTGTAATAACTGGAGTACATGTAAACCGACAACGGTCACCTTGCACCCTATGCAGTAAGTTACATAGGCGGTGCCAACAAAAGAGCAGGGTTCCGTGTATCGTGCACACTCCAATGGCACAGCAGAACATTTTCTCACCAATAGCCACTGCTAGCTGTTTTGTCATCTTGCTGTGCCAAATGATGCTGTATAGACGCGCCAAGCAGTGCTGTTCTGAAGTCATTCAGTTTCCATTGTGTCCCTGCATCTGAAAAGCCTCGCGATTCGTCCAGTTGAATCAGCGTTCGGCATGATCCGTATCTTGGTCACAGCACCGTGTGACGATCTGGTGACATCAGACGGATATAATACACAAGAGACAATTGTGATATTTCTACGTTGTGTTAACTTCAGATACATAATCTAAATAAAAGGGGGGTTGTCAACCGACAACCGCTCTATTTAGTTGCTTTTCACTCTTTAGATGAAAATTCTTTTATTAATTATGTCTAAAAATTATGCGGTTGTCAGTTGACAACCACCCTTTAATTTACACTGCAGTTGCGTGATGTCCACCACTTTCTGTACATAATCTAAGAGTACTAAAACAGCCACTGACTTCCAACTACCAAGGGAAAGCAAGCCCAAGCGCAGGAGAACCGTGCGCGCGGGTACGTGACATATAATATCGTAGTAGAGCTGGCAGGCAAGGCATGATCAGGGGTTCAGGCCCTGCCTGTAAACGCTCTGATTGGCTCAAACCCTGGCAACAATCACGTGACATGTCTGAAAATACAAGTAGTTGCGATTTATGCTGAAGTTCAAACTGACGGAACACGTGCAGCGCTACACCATGAACCGTGTGGAAACAAAAATAAGTAGAGGAGACACGGGATAACAGACATGAACTCAGGGTCAAACTGATAACTGTGAAACGTGAATGCATGCAGTATATGGAGCCAAAACAAAGTCACAGAATTCAGTACGTAACAAGTACTACACACTAACCTCGTACATGAGAATGTCACGACACCATTTGAATTAGCTCTTACACCCCACTTATGTTTCAGTCAGTAAGAGTACACATGCGTACTTACGTTGACTCTATTTTATCTGACTTGTCCAACACCATCGTTGTGAGCCTTCGGCACTTGGGAATACACAGGACAGATAAGATAGCAGCAAGAGCATCTCCCCGCTCTGTGAACACAGCTCAGACGCCATGCTTCATGATTGTGTGCCCATGGAATACAAGGACACAATAGGCTTGGTGCAGCTAACGAAATGGATGAACGGTCGACGGCCTGAGTGTTCTCCTTCCTCGATCAACACTGACAGTCACCACATACCATGCTTGATGTTTCAAGCACCATCGGCGCAGGCCACGTTTTTCGGCACCGACGATTTGTTCGTCCACCAAAAGTCGAAACAAATGTTTCTCACTTGAACACTCCGTAGAGCTGCCGCTGTTGTGCCGAGGCCCATTGGCGCATGGTGTGTATACTCCAAATCTACATGTATGATGATGGGTCACTGCTGACGTTTCTGCTCTTGGACAGTGCAACGCCGCATGAAGATATGTTGTGGCTCCACAATCGCTGAGAACGCTAGTGTGCGTCCATGGAATACTAAAACACAATAGGCGCGGCGCAGCTAACGCCCACTTGGATGAATCGGAGTGGTGGCGAGTGCATTCTCCTTCCTCGGTGAACACTGCTGGTCACCCTGTTTGATGATCCACCAAACACCATCGGTGCAGGCCGCGTTTTTTCGGAACCAGCCATTTATTCGTCCACCAACAATAGAAATTAATGTTTCTCACTTGAACACTCTGCATGATCTGTAGAGCTGTCGCTGTCGTGACAAGGCCGTGTATACTCCAAGTCTACATGTAGGATGAAGAGTAACAGTTACTGCTGATAATTAAGTTTGCGCTCGTGGACAATACAACGCTGTGTGAAGTAAAGTGTGGCTCCACAATCGCTCTGAATGCTAATGTGTGTCCATGGAATACTAAAACACAATAGGCGCGGTGCAGCTAACGCCCAACGTGGATGAAACGGACAACAGCAGCGACTAGTCTAGAGCGTTCTCCTTCCTCGGTGAACACTGCTACAAGACATTATGCTTGATGATTCACCAAACACCATCGTTGGGGGCCAAGTTTTCCGGCGCCAGCGAGTTGTTCGTCCACCAACTAAATTTGATGAGTCTTTCTTCAACACTTCGTAGAGCAGCCGCGCAAGGCCTTTCCTTCGCGTTAGGGTAGCGATCCTTCCTAGATGATATCGCTATTCATTGTTACTTTTTACTACAAGGAGTAGTGTTTCTCCGAAAATAAAGTCAGCTGCCTGGGCATTGATTAGGCATTAGTACTGCCTATACTAGGCCTAGCGCCTGGACTTGGAAAAAAATTGATTTTGCAAGTCTTCAATCATGTTTACGCGCTATCCAGCCATGTGGCGTGAACAGATTGCTTGACGTGAAAGGTAGCGCGAGTACGAGTCGTACCTGATCGTACGCGCTCGCAGTCCGCGGACGTACGTGTCAGTGACACGTGAAACGAAAAGATTTTTTTGGCGGGTAGTCGGCAAAAATTAAGTGACGGTCCCTTTAGTCCTTCGCGTGAGTGACAGGACTGCAGGGGTCACCATGGTCACCATGGCCACAATCTGTGACATGTGCCACATCTGAACCAGCCACTGATCTATGCCTGGTAGACTATGCTCCTCTCCACTGTACTCCACTCCAGTCTCCAGTGCAGTCTAGACTAGTAATATTCATTCATTTCACATTTTCAGTAGCATTTCAGTATCTCAATCCCACATTATAATACAATGTAAATACCGGTAGTACCAGGTCAGAAGAGCTCAGACCTTTTGTTAGTGTTTACGCTTGTTACGGTACTTGCGCTGTTCTTACATGACTCAGTGAGGTCGCTGAGAGCTGGGATCCCAGTCCTACATGTACTGTATATAGGCATAATGCATAGGGAGTAAGGTCGTCCTGGGGTAAGGGAGGTGTGGTGCCCGGGGAAAGACTGAACAACTAGCAACTTTTGCAAGTGCGGCAATAGTGCTGGGGGCGCAGCCAAGACTGGTCGTGTACTAGTTAGCTACATAACGTCATAAGGCATAGAATGATACAATGTGTCATGTAGATACTCATACTATAGAACAGGTCAACTCTTTACACCATCATGTACAGACGAAGATTTATGTACAGACGAAGCATGTCTACAGCGCACTGGCGACGTAAATGCAGACAGTTCCAGCTCGTAGACGTCGACGTAGTCGTTTCATGCAACTCCACGGATAGGTGCTAGCAGTAAGACACACTGGATCGACTGAACGACGTCGCCGACGGAGGCGTGCTGCGCATGCGTGGCTGGGTTGTTGACGTAAAAGAATAGGTGGCACGATACGATGGACGTCTGGAGAGCCGGAGTGTTGGAGAGGTCTGTCATCGATATGTCATCGTGGTCACTATCATCAAGGGCGCATAACTCCACCATGGTGCCACTAGTACTAGTACTGAGGCACTAGTGCTGTCAACGCCTGTCCACAGTCATGTACATGTACATGACTGTACATGCAACAGCGTGAGATGGCTAGGACTGTACAAGCCATGTAGCCATGTAGGAGTCCATCACTGGCCATGATGTAGGAGTCCATCACTGGCCATGGTGTATTTTTAAAACGGTATGGCTTTGTTGTGAACTACGGAAGGGATCACGAGTAAGAGGCACGATCGTACAAAGACTGTCAATGAGCAGAGACATGTTTCATATTGCATGGCAAAAGCAACAGTTACTGGCTACACAACTAATACTTGGCTACAAGTACAACATGTTGATTATCTATGTACAACATGTTGTTTATCTACATCTATGTACAACATGTTGTTTATCTACATCTATGTACAACATGTTGTTTATCTACATGTACATGTATGTACAACATGTAACGTTACAAAAGACTAGTTTAAAAGTCATGTACATGTACATGTACGTAATGTCGTTGCATTTCTTTGTTTGATTCTTTGACGCTTCACTGACCAACCAGCATAAGACTTAGGCATTGGCGGATAATGCTGGAAAAGGTGGCAGATTCTGCTCGAAAAGCAGTGAAATTGGCAGAACCATACAAACCTTATGGCGGGCAATTCCTCGAATTATGCTCCATTTCTTTATCCACATACCAAACATGCATGAAACTTACCAGAAAAAGTACCGAATTCTGCCGGCATTATCCGCAAAGGCCTAATAAGACTACGTGCAGCCACACTTTGCACGAAGTGCAGTAGCTGAGGTCTCTGTTGACTGTTGTGCTACTCAATAGCGGCGAGAGCACACAGGACCAGTCTCTGTCAGGAACAGGAAGACTGTCTTTGCTGACCTAATGGATAGAGTCGCTCTGCTGTAAATTACTGTACTAGTTTTAGGCTTTATAGCAGTTGGAATCCATTCACGAAACGTATCCATTTACTTCTCAAGATCGTATACCTGTACATGTCCCGGTATATGATTGTACTTGTTAGATTTTAACCAGTGTTAGGTTATTATCATGATTGTACTTCTGGCTAACAGGTCCCTTGACAACAGGTCAGAGTGTTCATTGTGGGTGCTGACTGGTCAGCACTTCAAAGCTTTCATACATACATGTACATGTACACAAGGTTCAGCGGAAGAATTTTTGTAAAGAGAAACAGTCTTTAATCCGAGTTCCTTGCTCAGTCTACGCAATCATCAGGAGACAGTCTCCTGATGATTGCGTAGAGCAAGGAACTCGGATTAAAGACTGTTTCTCTTCCACTGATCCGTGTGTGTGTGTTCTCATGGCGTATGCAAGACGGTCCCAGTTCGCCATGATTGCTAAGTACATCCTCGGAGAGCTAACTCTAACATACCCTCAGCCAGAGTCAGGTTCGAATTCAACTACAGAATATAATAATTATATCCTGGCTCTCTCTCTCTCTCTCTCTCTCTCTCTCTCTCTCTCTCTCTCTCTCTCTCTCTCTCTCTCTCTCTCTCTCTCTCTCTCTCTCTCTCTCTCTCTCTCTCTCTCTCTCTCTCTCTCTCTCTCTCTCTCTCTCTCTCTCTCTCTCTCTCTCTCTCTCTCTCTCTCTCTCTCTCTCTCTCTCTCTCTCTCTCTCTCTCTCTCTCTGTGTGTGTGTGTGTGTGTGTGTGTGTGTGTGTGTGTGTGTCTCTCTCTCTCTCTCTCTGTCGCTCTGTGTGTGTCTCTCTCTCTGTCTCTCTCTCTGGCTCTCTCTCTCTCTCTCTCTCTCTCTCTCTCTCTCTCTCTCTCTCTCTCTCTCTCTCTCTCTGTCTCTGTCTGTCTGTCTCTGTCTGTCTGTCTGTCTCTGTCTGTTTGTCTGTCTCTGTCTGTCTGTCTGTCCCTCTCTCTCTCTCTCTCTCTCTCTCTCTCTCTCTCTCTCTCTCTCTCTCTCTCTCTCTCTCTCTTTCTCCCGCTGTCGTTGATATGTAACAACAACGACGACAACAACAACAACAACAACAACAACAGCAACAACAACAACAACAACAACAACAACAGGCAGGAGTGCCTCAGGGCTCAGTCCTTGGACCACTGCTGTTTCTGGTGTACACCATCGACTTGCCTGCCAGCACCAGGTGCGGCCAGTTTGCCGACAACACAGCCCTGGTAGTCCTCACCTTCTACAACGGAAATCGCACCTCCCCCTACCCCTCATCATCTCACACGCATAGAGCTACTAGTAAACAATGCATACTCTCAGAAATGTCCTGCAACATCGCCACCTCGGCATCATCTTTCAGCATGACCTAAGATGGACAGCCCAACTTGACTTTGTGCTGCAGAAAGCTGTAAAATCATTAATTTTACAAGTAACACCCCGCTCTCAATCCCAGCCCTTGACCGCCTTGAGCCAATCCAGCACAAGGCGGCCAGAATTTGCCTCCGTCTCCCCCTCTTCACTCCTCTCGATCATTCAGCACTGCTCCATCGGCTCAAATGGCCGACAATGTTCTCTCGCCGAAAGTAAAGCTCGCCCTTCTTGCACATTCCATAAAATACCAATATGCAACATAACACATATGCATACATGTACTAGTACTATGATGTAGATATAATTATGCCTACCGCAATCAGGCAGGTAACTGGTTATTTTCGTTGTGTAACTACCAACAATGAACACAAATTGTATTATATATTCGTAGTGCGTCTCTTCTGAGCTCTCTACAATGGTCCACGCATTGAACCTTCCGACCAGCTGTGGAGTATGCTCTAACTGCGCACGCCAACATGGGGAACGGAACAAGCGATGGAGCACGCCACATTGAAAACCTATTGCGGGCTACAATACACATGAAAATAACACGTAAGATTCCGAACTTCGGAAGATAGAACGCCACAAAGGACTTAGGTGTGGAATGGACCCCATGCCAGCCATAGACCAACACTGTCACAGGCATTCCAGTCATGACTTCTTGCATGGACGGTTTGAACGACTTCCTCAGTCAGACTCAGAGCAACACCAAACCCTTGCAGTCGCGAGCAGGCATTGGACGCTGGGGCACACCTCCACGGATGCTGCGCGAGAAACACCTGTTTGCATCGGACAGGGAATGGTGTCGATCATGTCCGGACAGGACTGCTGCTTTCCAAGAGCCCCATACTACTGTATAGACCCTAGGCATAGGGTTAGGTTGTTATTACGAGTCCATTCAGTGTCCGTCTCTATCAGTGAATCAGTCACGACAGTGTGGCCGGGTGTTCTGCCTCCTGGTAATCATACGTCAACAGTTGTGTCTGCAAACACCCTCACTTCGCTGACTGTGGGTTTCCATCAGATCCGGGAGGTTTAGTATTGTTACGTAGCTAAGGACTCGGAGCACAGTACAGCAGTAGTGTTGATACAGTTACCTAACCAGGTACAGGTACACCCAATACAACTCCTTGGCTTGTATGCGACTGAGCAACAGCGTTACTAGTATTCACCAGTCGGTACTGCATGCCTGCTGCTTTCTACTTCGCGGTGTCTGGGGACGGGTGTGGCGGTGGTGTCCATGACTGCAGACCAGGGGGTCGGCTTGCATCACACTTCACAGAAATAAGCAATATTGCCAAAGAGAAGCACAGTCCACGGAAGTGTCTACATAAACATACCGTTTTGTGCAACAGAATCTTGATCCAACTATTACTTTAATACTAGTACCTGGTATCAAGTTATGTGTACATCACAATAACAATCATTACGAAATACGTGTACAGTACCAGTAGATCGTGCGACATTGACGATGAATTGTGTGTTATTGCCTACAAAGGAGGCTGGGAGCTCACGCTTTTCCTGTTGACTTAATTAAAACTTGACTGACTCACGAC